CCCGGAGATCATACGCGACCTGATCTCGTACGTTCGCATCGATTTTTGATGTGGGATGGTGCAGTCGTCAACCACATGCGACTATAATCAGCTGTTCTAAACTTCCTCATTGGAAGTCACGAAAAAGCGGTGGGTTTTTCGAGAAGTTGTTGATTGTGTAATTGCCGGAGAGTTCTTCGTCTTTTTGTAAGTGTTATTGAAGCGTTTGGCCTAGTAGATTGTATATCAGTATACCCTTCCAGGCTCTGAAGAAGGCGATACTGCCGAAACGTCAGCTAGCGTTGTATTGTATTGTGTTTTCTTTATGGAAGTAAACGTATGCTGTTTAAAAACCTCGCGATTGCTGAGCAAGAAAACGATACATTCATATTCCAATGCCGAGGTTAAGAGAAAGTCGATCTTGGGAACTATGTTTAATATTTTTAGCTCTTTTGTAGATTTCGAGAAAAAAGAGAGAAGCCATAGAAGTCACGCGGTTGAAACGTTTCTATCAGGTCAGCAAACATGAGGTGTTATTTTATTTTTTTATTTACGTACAAGCTGACGTTTCGGTGGATTTCGCCTTCCTCGGAGCCTGGAATGGTCAAGTTGGCTACAATCTACACGGCCAAACACCTCCATAACCAAACAGAGAAATTCTGAACCAAAATTTCAACCACATTGAACAAAGAGACTTTGCACACTCACCGCTTTCTATGAGTCTTCCACTGAGCATGTCACGTGGAGACCAACTGATCAGAGTTCACACGGAATCGTATTGTGCTCATCTCATCAAAATAGCAGGTTTATATACTGTCCAATATCACGCGTGATAATGAGGCATTCCTCCCTGCGGTTCCTTTTCGGATTCTTGGAATTAATCCAGAATGCCTCTAGAGTTTTGCGCTTAGAAAGTAGAAAGAATTATTCAATCAATGCCGAGGTTAATAGAAAGTCGGACGTGGCAGTTCCTTTCAGTAACAGACATGATGCAAAGAAAGATATTGAGACATAGAGAGGTTCAGAATTTAAGGAAGAAAATGGTATACTTTTTTAATTTCACACGACTGATCACCACAAGTTAGTGGAATGCCAGCAGTTTTTCATTTGGTTCCTTTCCCTGCATATATCAACTACTCAGCTCTCCGGTTTGGGGCCTGTCTTCATCAGCCGTTTGAAAACCGTATTTTTCATAAAATTAGTTGAACGCTGCTCGACGAAATTCCTCTATTCAAGGCTAGCTCTAATGAAGCTTTCTGAGTTTTCACAGCAGTTTGTGTTCAATTTCTTGAAATTCTGGGATAGCTGCATCACAGTTGCTCTCGGTCTCCACCGCAGAGAAGGCTGGTGGCAATTTCCTGATCCCAAAGAAATAACAGGCTCTGCTGGCAGGAATGAAATCCAACAAGGCCTTTGCGCGTGTTATTGAAAGGCATCTTTAGCATTCCAACGCAATCACATACGTATAACACATTGTTACATATTTTCGAAAAAATAAAGGATAAAGTGTTCGGCATTGATCAGTTCCTGAGGAATACGCCATACATTTGATTTCCTTAAGCAACGTTTGGGGTGATTGAATGCATATCTGGCCTATAAAATGACTAGCTTTGGCCTGCCAGTGTGTCGAATCAATACTACTATCTCTTAGGTAGGTCTGCACCAATTTTTCGACGCGGGGTCGAAACCATGTGTATTGGCCACCTCTAATCACTGCGTTACAGGCGTCTTATACTTCATATACGATAGAATTAGGCAATATTCATTGCAGCGAAATGCAAGTTAGTTGTTAATTATGGTCGAATTAATTAATTAATTGGAATTTAACACTAATGTGAATGTAAAGAAGACTAGAGTGCACAATTAATGAGTTAATGACTTTAATCAAGTCGGAGAAACAAAAGGAAGCAATTTTGAAATACAATGAATGCTATTGTAAGGTGAGAATAGTGTGAAACCTAACAAAAGGTTGCAATTTACCACGGAATATAGGGTCCCAGAAGTGGCGGATGCCTTATTTCAGTCGATTGTTCATTTCGGATTTCCACTGTTCAATCGTTTTCTTCAACCAGAAATCCGAGTTGTGCTGCTGGCAGAAGATAAATACTGATGGTCTCGCTCTTTCTAATGAGATGACACCGATTTGTCAATCGGATCGATTAGTTACAATCTACTAGGCCTCCATTCAGGTAGGAAAACTCGAAAATTGTTAAGGACTACGTGTCTTCAGCACATCTTTCCACTATCATTCACTGAAAACGAAGAAGGCGTGTCGGTCGATGATCAATTAGTAAACAAAACGAATTGAGTTCAATCGGGTGGTGACCTTGAGAGTGCCGGCTCCTTCCCGAATGGCAGCAGACTTTGTCTCCAAGGCAGTTTCTCCGATGATTCACAGACTAACGGCTGTGGAGGTTGTCGAAAAATGAACTGCTGCAATGCGTAAATCATCCGATGGTGTAACTTTAAGTGAAGAATGCTAAAAACGAGAAAAAAAACATTTGTGTTGTTTAAGTCGCCCTATATTATCTTTTCTTCGATGGTTCGAATGGTTCGCTCCAAGCTGATTCATCCTAAATTGTGTGTAATTTTGAAAACACTGAATAAAATAGTGAAGGGTCAACTTTCTCAAAGGTCGCGTACAGGACAGCGGTTAGAGATGCCCCGCTGCATATACTTTCAGGAAGGATGAAAACACCAATTCCGTACATTTTTAAGTTGTTTCAACTCATTATTTAAGTTAAATATGCAACAGGTTAACTCTCTGCTACTATGAATGGAGTCGGATACATGTCGCATCGTCAAGGGTTCCACCGGCCCCGAAAGCTTTATTGTGAAAGCTTGCAAAGTATTGCTTGCTTTCCCTCATGTTAGTCTTTCAGCAGAAGTAATGTACAATTGGCTCTTCAACTGCGAATAAAAGCAGGAAAAATAAGCCATGTGACTGATGGAGTTTAGAAGACCATTAAGCTATCCTAAATTATGGATGGATGAATGCCAATTCAAAGGCTTAGCCAATATATTTAATATTAATGTGTCGTTTTCTTGTTCAGCAATCGCGAGGTTTTTAAACAGCATACATTTACTTCCATAAAAACACAATACAATACAACGCTAGCTGACGTTTCGGCAGCATCGCCTTCTTCAGAGCCTGGAAGGGTATACTGATATACAATCTACTAGGCCAAACGCTTCAATAACACTTACACAAAGACGAAAGACTCTTTGGTAATTACACGATCAACAACTTCTCGAAAAACCCACCGCTTTTTCGTGACTTCCAATGAGGAAGTTTAGAACAGCTGATTATAGTCGCATGTAGTTGACGACTGCACCATCGCACATCAAAAATCGATGCGAACGTACGGGATCAGGTCGCGTATGACCTCCGGGCATTCGTCCCTGCTACTCATTGTAGGGTTTTTGGCATTGATCCAAAAAGCCTCTAGGAGTTTTCGCGCTGGTGTTTTGGACTCCTGTGCAAGGATATTGACTTTTGCTTCAAAATCGTCTCCGCTATGCTTTTGTATCCTATGCGTGCCTAGTGGGGTGCTTCGTCTTNAGTATCGCCTTCTTCAGAGCCTGGAAGGGTATACTGATATACAATCTACTAGGCCAAACGCTTCAATAACACTTACACAAAGACGAAAGACTCTTTGGTAATTACACGATCAACAACTTCTCGAAAAACCCACCGCTTTTTCGTGACTTCCAATGAGGAAGTTTAGAACAGCTGATTATAGTCGCATGTAGTTGACGACTGCACCATCGCACATCAAAAATCGATGCGAACGTACGGGATCAGGTCGCGTATGACCTCCGGGCATTCGTCCCTGCTACTCATTGTAGGGTTTTTGGCATTGATCCAAAAAGCCTCTAGGAGTTTTCGCGCTGGTGTTTTGGACTCCTGTGCAAGGATATTGACTTTTGCTTCAAAATCGTCTCCGCTATGCTTTTGTATCCTATGCGTGCCTAGTGGGGTGCTTCGTCTTAGTTTTCGTTTGCCATCTAGGTGTTCTTTTACACACAAAGGTCTGCCCGTTTCGCCAATATATTCATCTTCGCAATTATTACAAGAGATCAGGTATATCGTACCTGAACTCATGCAATCACCGTCCCTGCCGTAAGGGCAAATTACGCAATTTGTTGTTTCACACAGACGGTCATACAGGCAGTTGCGAACTAAATGGCGACGTAGAGTAGTCGGTGGTATTTCAACTATCGCTACCGATTCCTCTAGACCTGCCCTTCTTAAGCATCGTTTTATAGCTATTTAATATTGTTCGATTCATCATGTATATATATATATATATATATATATGTACATATGCATTTATGTTTGCGTATTTGTATGCATGTAAGCTCATACATACATTCTTCCATTATATATATATATATATATATATAAAGTATGTTTTTATGAGCCCTGGGTGAAGGGTCGAACCAAATACACTGTTCTTACCACCGCTTCCTGCAGTAACAACAGTGTATTTGGTTCGATCCTTCGCAAAGGACTCATAAAGTCTTCTATGCTTTATCTATCGTGTGAATCCACTCCAGCACTTTCATAACTACGATTTCTGGCCTTGCCTCACGGAATCTTCGAAAGTAGCGTCGATTCCTCCAATTATTCGACCAGCTGGGTAAGTTCTAACAGGCTAATTCTAGATTGTTTATGCAGAAATCTTATATAGTTTACCTTCTTGAATTGAGCATTTTTCTCGTATGCCACAAAAGTGGTAAGGGTTGAATATTACTACGCTATAAATGGAAAACGATTTACTTTGAAACTACCAACGTCCGACTAGGAATTCTGCATGGACTTAGACTAATCTATGGCATAAATATCATTAATTCAGCCACATCTCTCCAGATTGCTATTTTGACCTCTTCTCTAACTGTTGGGCTGGTATCGTAACACGCAATGACTCAGTTCCACCGGAACCTGTCGTGTCGTCCCTGTAGAACACGCCTTATAAGAAACGCAGCGATGGGTCCGACGTCAGATAATCATTTCTTCTATGCTGTATCTACTAGCAAGCTTATTGCTAATTCCTTCAGTTAAGGCTACATTCGGTTAGTCGGCTTTGCATTCTGTACTTTTTTAACTAAACTGTTCAATGAATTAAATATATGCAAGTACTGTGGTAGAGCATCTCTGCAAAAGTAGCGCACGAGTACAACCTTCATTGCAACATTTTTTATATAATTACTTTAGTCGACGAAAGTCTTTTGAGCTCATTTTCTGCGCTTATTTCCCGGTCAACATTTCCTAAGTAGTAAAAACCTGCAAAGTCAAGGTGCTAACAAGATTTTTCGTGGTTTGTTGAGATCGCTTTCAATGATTTAGAACGAGATCTTGTTTCTGTTCAAACAAAAATGTTTGCGAAATCTTGATTATAGGAAGCTTTAATAATAAAGGAAACCACGAAAATAAAAAGTTTTCCGATTTCCTTCTTTACTACCTATCTCTACCTCATTAGAACTACCTCATTAAGCAGTACCAAAATCCCCCACCTCTATAAGATCACTTCATTCGTCCAAAGCACAATCTAGTTAAAGGCTTTAGCAACATATTAACTTATAAGGAGTAGAAAAGCTTGACGAAATTGATTGGGACAAACGCGTTTACAGTTGTTCTCATATTTTCAACGATTATACAAGAATTCACCAAAATTACTACGTGTCAGTTGCTCGATTTGCATATGAGCCTTGACCTTTTCTTAACACCAATGTTTTTCTTGAGAAAGAAAAAAGTAAACATTGGTATCACGTTATAACGGAATTTTAGTTATCTAGTAGTTTTCCAACACGTATGCAATATCCCGCCCCTCCCTTCCGTATTCAGCTTTCGGGAAAATCATTGTATAAAACTGGCTCGATTTTTTTTGCTCTTTCAGAACCCAAACTTTTACTTCCATTAGAGTACATCGTTCTGACGAAAGCGATGTCAAATTGCCCTTTTTTAAGTTGACTTAATAAATAAACTTGTAACCACACTGAATTAGTACTAATCGGGTCTATGTTGCTAAAATATGAAGTGATCTTCGATGAGAGCCAGTACTTCTATTACTTACTTTTATGTTTTGCAGTGCTAAATTTCTCAGTGGACTTTTAATAAACCTTTTAGTGATTTCAAGAAGTTCTGCTTGCAGGTGGTTGCTGCAGCGTGGCACTTCCACCACCGCCATGTCCACAACCAGTATGTGTGGCACCGCCACCACCACCACCGCTTCCCTGCCCTCCTCCACCAGTTTGTCCGCCACAGTTTTGTCCTCCTCCACCTATATGCCCTCCGCCACCACCACCTCCACCTCCTCCACTGTGCCCACCACCACCACCTCCGGTATATCAACCCCCTTGTCAAACATACGTACCAGCACCTGTGTACCAGGTATCCGTTTAATATCTGGTCCGTAAAATATTTTTTAATGACATAATCAGTTTGCTTAGTCAATTTTTTCTGTGTTATCACGTGAAAAAGGCTAAAATGTTTCTATGAGATAATTTCTGCAAGAATAATCGCCAATCAGGAACTGAGAATAATTCAGATTTTTTGAACTTTCCACTCACTACAGACCAAAAAACGAATAGAGACAAGATAAAAGGACGATTCAAATAGAAATGAAATTTGCCCAAAGTCTAAGACAAAGTTTTCAGTACGTCGCCCCGCCTGCTGTAGATTGCTGCTGTCAATGTGCTGTGCCATGTCGTTACAGGAACAGGAGGCATAGAACCCATGGTTCTAAGGTTACCTTTCTTCTATTCCAATGATTACGCGTTATGCGATTTTTGTATTTTGTATCTTGCTTACCACCTATAGGAACTCAAGTCATAGGTTTTCGGTATTGCAGGCGCACCATATCATACCTAAACAAAAAAATTTCTTAACACACAACTACAGTCCCCAAACTTGGCTTGCAAGCAAAAGTAAAAAGAAAGAAAGAAACAAGGACGATTTCCGTGGCTGAACAGAATGGGTCCCATTTACGTACGGTAGCAAGAGACCTGCGTAAGTGCAGAGAAATAAGTTCACGCTTTGTTATGTTCTGAAGTAAAGCACTCATTAATATTAAAGGATAAAGAGAGAAATGTTTGGAGCTGATTAACTCATGATGGCTGCAACATGTCATACAACTTTAGCATCGTAGATTCGATTGAATGAATACCTGGCTGTACACAATGACTGGTGAAGCTCTGCCGATGTGGAGTCTTTCAATTCTCCCAGGCATTTCCCGTTCCCGTTTTTCAACATCGATGAGATAGGAGGCTTGGTAGCTAGTTTGAAGCGATCGAACCAAGGACGACGTCTGCGTTGCAAATAGTCTCCAACCATCATGCTATTTATAAAGGATAAAAGGACTACGCTTTCGGCGTTGATCACTTCCTGAGGGATGCTCCATGTGTTCGACTTCATTAAACATTGTTGGAGGTGATTGAATGAATATCTGGGCTTTGCAATGACCTGCAGTGGCCAACCGATGTATCGAGTCAGTCCTGCTATCCTCCCGGACAAGTCTGGTACCAATTTGCCGACCGCGGAGAGATGGAGGACTTGGTTGGCCTTGGGCGTGGGAATCGATTGCACGTATATGTTGCAGGGCGCCTCCGACCACTGCGCTATGCGCCCTCCTTACAAATTACGTTATCTCTACCAGAATAAAAACACAAAAGAAAAATTATATCGTATTTAAATCTAGACGATAGTAATGATTCGTGTTCAGATTTTTACCGCTGATTCACTGGAAGAAGAACTTGAAGCCACTTGTAATAACAGGAAGCTAAAAGTGATCATCGAAGATGTAAGGCGTGCCACTAGTTTTTGCGGCAACTCTGTTCTCTTTTGTTTCGTAAAGATTCATCGCATTCATTGCATAACAGCAATCGTCTTAAATTTTCATTCTGTCGCTAAAACCAGCTTTTTTGACACCGAATAATCGTAATTCGCCAGCAATTCGAAATAAAAAAGCAGCTGAAAAGTGAAAACGACAAAAAGTAGTACTCGTCATGAACGATGTAGTAGTTTGTTTCTATTCGAAATGAAAATATTGAATGGCTACAATTTTTAGAACATGACCACCGATCCGACCATTTCAAAGCGTGCCATCCAGAAAGCAGCCGAAGAGAAGCTGTTCGGAAAATTCAACGTAATCTGCGCTAAAGGCGATTTCACTTATATCGCTTATACTGACACTTTTTGTCAAGCATCCAATGAGGACATGTCGTGCTACGCCTTTAAACCTCTATGAAGTAGACAGAAGAAGCTGAAAAAAGGAAAACAAATGATGTTTGCTACGGCGAATGATAGTCACTTAGATGGTGAAATGACCTCAGTTAAGTTGTTTGAGTGAAATTTTAGCCGTCGTTGTTTTGTAGAAAGGCATTCGGAATGTATCAAATCGAATACTTTAATGAATAACTTTAATGTTTTTCTCATTTTTTCATCATAACGTATTTGTGTAATTATGCGTTATGCTCTGTGTCTTTTTCCGCCGTTGCGATAGCGATAAAGCAGTTTTTAAGGATGGATTCTCGTATTTCAAAAGCTGTACTTCAAGTGTTCGTCCCATTTTTAGTTATTCGACAGTATTTGTTAAACACATCAGTGACGACCCTTAAGTTTTGCCCGTTGCAGTGAAATTTTTCGTAACCAGTGTAATTGCGCTCTATTGCTGTAGGGCTATCAATATTATTCGTAAAATGTCCTTCAGTTTCTAGGGTTGTTTGACAGCTGCATTTTCGAAACTAACTAAAAGGAATTTTAGATTTTTCGTTTTTTTAACGCATACGTTGCTCAGATGCAGATGACAACATCGGCAGCGCGTATTGGGGCGCCTCTTTCTGCCCGCTTACAAAATCACTTCGTTTTACGAGACATGAATCGTTGGAGAAAATGTGTTTTATATCCTATATAAAGCCAGAACTAGTCACTATAGAAAGTTTTTCACTGCAAAAAGTTGCACCTTAGTGGAAGGGGTTTGCAGATTCTAATGATCGATGAATGTCGTCATCACTTTTGTTCACGCATGAGTCATATATGATTCATGGCTCTACCGGAATGCGTTAAACACTCAGGCGCTTGTAAGCACGCTCGTTCACTTCCCTCCATTCCTCTATAAGAAAACAAAACTTTAAAAATTGAAAAGCCAGTAAGTACTAAAGATATCTGAAAGTAGGTATTCGGTTAAAGGAATTTATCTATAACAAAGTAAAAGTTATTTGATTGCTGAGATACTGACTTTTACAAATTCAAATGAAACTACGCAAGAAATTCCTTTGAACATAATCGATAATCCGGATGCCTCTGTAATTTACTGCGCTACATCAGTACAACTGCGAAATTACAACTTCTACCGAAAGATCAGTGCTTAGTTATGCTTGTCTACGGAACGCTTGATATCAACACTGAAAACGGAAAATTGTTGTCGGCGTATTTAAGAGTTGTTTTGTTATTTTTACTTATGTGATCTTATAAACTGATCTTCTTAAGCTGACGCGAGGTTGGTACAGGTTTTCGTTGTTATTGTCGTTGTTTTTGATGTTATTGATCGATGGCTGACGTTTCGCCGACTTCGCCTTTCCTCAGAGCCTGGATGTATTTAATATTAGAATATTTTTATTATTCGGTGGATAAGAAAGGTTAAAGTGTTAATGAAGATCAAACTTCCAAATATACGCCGTATTGAACAGAAAGGCCACTCACCATGATGTTATGTGCGGGACTGGCTCACACGTAGTTCACGTGGGTCGCGAGCAAGGCACACCCCGGAGTCAAAATACGATTTTAAAATAGGGCGCCAGGCCACGCGTGATAGTGAGGCATTCGTCTTTCCCGTTCATCTTTGGATTTTTTAAATTTATCCAAAACGCCTCAAGAGTTTTGCGCGTTGATGTTTTTGATTCCTGCGCTAGGATCCGCACAGTCACTTCAAAATCATCGCCGTTGTGCATTTGTGCTCTGTGCGTACCTAGAGGGGTGTTTAAACAGATTTTAGCTTTTCCATCTAGGTGTTCTTTTATGCGGACACAAAGTGGTCTCTACCCGTTTCTCCAACATATTCCTCGCCGCATGTGTTACATGAGACCAAGTATATTATACCTAAACTCGTGCAATCCCCGTCTCTCCCGTTAGGACAGATCATACAGTTTTCTGAGCTGCACAAACGATCATAGAGACGGTTTTGAACTAACTGGCGGCGTAGGGTATTGGGTGGGTTGTCAATAATCATTACATAATTTTCAAGACCACTTTTCCTTAAGCACTTTTTAATGGCGTGACTTACTTCATTTGATGTGAAGGATAGCTTAAAGGAGATCCTACTTTCGTCTGAAATATTATTTTGAGAAACAACCCAATGTTTTCCTCTAACCCAAGTGGGGAACGGCGATGATTTCGAAGTGACTGTGCGGATCCTAGCGCAGGAATCGAAAACATCATCGCACAGAACTCTTGAGACGTTTTCGATAAATTTCAAAAATCACGCGTGGCCTGGCGCCCTATTTTAAAATCATATTTTCACTCCGGGGTGTGCTTTGCTCGCGACCCACGTGAACTACGTGTGGGCCAGTCCCGCACGTAACATCACGGTGGCCCTTCTGTTCAATACGGCGTCTATTTGAAAGTTTGATCTTCATTAACACTTTAACCTTTCTTTTCCACCGAATAATAAAAATATTCTAATATTAAATACGTTCAGGCTCTGAGGAAGGCGAAGTCGCAGAAACGTCGGCCATCGATCGATAACATCAAAAACAACGACAACAACAACGAAGACCTGTACCAACCTCGCGTCAGCTTAAGAAGATCAGTTTATAAGATCACATAAGTAAATATATCAACTATCTATGCCGAGGTTTATAGAAAGTCGGTCTTTCGAGTCTTTTGTTATTTTTGGTCATCAAAATTCTTGGGCAGATTCGTAAGACGCTTGACATACAGGAGTAAAACCGACGTAAAATTCAGAGTTATTGATTACCGATTATTACTATCGAATATTTTACTACCAAGGTTGAACAACGGTCGGTTTCAAAATTACTGTTCTGCTGTTCGCCTTGTGCTATCTAACACAATGCCGACTGCTGCGGAGTGGATTATCCGTTGAACAACAAATTGTTATCAACGGATAGTCATATCAACAGCAACCGCTCTGTATAAAAAGACACTGCAGCGCCAAATCGAGAAGAGGAAGAACTGTGGACTACTGACTGGGATCACCAGCGCTGATGAAGGCAAAGAAGTCGAAATGTTAGCCGAAATAAATACGTTTATCAACGTCGCGTAAGCTCAGCAAATTGAAAACATGTAAAATTCACGGTTTTCAAGTTATTCGAAGAAGCTGGTAATACCAAGGAGTCTATTTTTCTCCGTGCAATCCATCCTGCAGCAGTCCGTATCATTATCAGCGAGGAGGGAGCGTAGCAATACTTCAAAAACCGATCCTGCTTTAATCTTGGCATGGCTAATCTTTATTGACAAGCTAGCATGATGTTAATAAAAACACTTTTATGAAATGCTGAGATATTTGCAAAACTCCGGACCACAGGTGTATGCAGTGGGGAACGAACACGCGCTGCTGTCCTTACCGGGGAGCAGGGCGTGTTCGTTCTCCACTGCATACACCTGTGGTCCGGAGTTTTGCAAATATCTCAGCATTTCATACGAGTTATATTTCGCAACATGCCCTGCCATTAAGAAGAAAAAGGCAGTAAATAAAAGGGTTAAAAAACACTTTATTCGGCTAACGTTTCGGCGTCTGCGCTCTCTCCAGAGCCGAACTGATCCGAGTCGATTGCCTACAGTCCATAACAATATCTGTATGTCTGTATGTAAAGACAGGTAGGTAGTCATAGTGCGAATTGAATAATTGGATAGTGGATAAAATGATTGCTCCTCGTTGAAAGGTTTGGATAGCGGCAATCGATTGACATGATGGATTGTGACGGAGTTTGCGTTGAAGTGTTAAGCTGTTCGATAGGATAATGACGTTGTGTCAGTGTGGAGGATTTGAATCTTCTTTGAGCTTGACTAAATTTACAAAATTCAATTTGAGTTCGTGCGTTGAAAGCTAATAGTCGCAGAGATGTTGTTGATGACAATTTGCTTTTGACTTGTCTGTGTGAAAAGTCGGCCAACTCACAGTTCCCTTTGGAATAAGAAGTATTATCAATGGAGATTCGCTGTTTTATACACCAAATATGTGAGGCCGAACAGTAGCAGTGACTTGCTGCGGGAAACAAGTTGTTGGATGAACCTGTGGAAATTCCGAGGAAGAGCGATGAAAACTTCTTTCATCGTTTGGGAGAGATGTTGTGCTGTAGTAGTTACATCAAACTTAGAGACTTTAGGCTCTCTTTGTATCTGAAGGATACAGAATACGATCAGCAGCCGTGTAGAGGCTAGATAACGAGCGTTTACTCTATGTATGTGCGAAAAAAGCATTCTGCAGTTGTCATGAGAAAGTGTAGCCGTAATTTGTCTAAACCGATAGAGAAAATTTTCTATGCGACACATCAACATTCCCTATAGTGGCTAATGAACTGTATTTCCGACAACAGCCGATTACCACAGATGAGTCTTCTCACACAAGTATTTGAAGCATCCCTAGATTTTATTTCATAAGCCTCTCAAGGTCCACCAAGGCTTCAGTAAATGTGCGAGACTTTTAAGACATCGTTTATGTCAACGAAACGTGTTCGCAATTGAGGATTGCGTTTCTTAAACGATTTGCAATAGGTTTTAGTACGACCGATGTCCATCGGTAGCTAAGCACACTTTTCTGAAGACTTCTCAGAAGTTAATCTTCACCAGGAGAACCGTCCTGCAGACTAAAATACTTTAATTTAGGTCATTCCGGTGAGGTTAGCTTAACTTCCTAACCCCTAACTTCGGAACCTTTCGCACCCTAAGCGAGAACGATGCTATTTGATCTCAATCTATGTAAACATCTATTGGATCTTTCAATCATTTCAGGATTCCTTGATTATTCTGTTACCGTAATATGACATTGGAGCTCTTCCGGATTTATTAAAGAACTGAGCGAGACCAGAGACCCATTTAGGGACGTATAACATTTTATGCGGCATGAGAGACAATTCTGCAATTCTCAGTTTCTCCGAGCCTTATTATGCGGTGTTATTTCAGTATTACATTGCTTCTAGCATACGTCAATATACAGAGAGAATGATCTATCATTTTAAAATATTTGGATTCGGCTTGCTACGTCGACGTCAACTGTACAGTAAAGTTTTT